CACCTCAGAAGAAAGGCCTAGTGATCTCCTTCAAAGAGTCAGCCATTGAAAACCCCATGGAGCATAGTGCTACTCTGACATACATGAGGTCACAATAAGTCAGAGTCAACCTGATGCCAAATAGGGGTCAGTGTAGGATTTTGGTTTATTCCAAGGGTGATGGAAAGATATCGGAAGATTTTAAGCAGGAGGGTATTGGGATTTGGTTTAGAATTTAAAAGATCCCTGGCTGTGTAGCAATTGAGTTATTCAGAAATGAGTGAAATTCCACCAGGAGGCTGTGGCAGTTCTGTAGGGAGAGGCTATGGTGGCAGTATAAATAGAATGACAGAGCCACATATATTCTGAAGGTAGAGCTTATAAGACTTGCTGAATATTGGAGGGGAGGAAAGAGAAATCAAGAGTGACTTGTTGGTTTTTGGCTTGAGCATTTGAGTCATTAAAGTAACATGAAAATGGGAAAAACTAGGGGAAGAACAGTTTGGGTGGAAAATTGAGAGCTCCAAGGCTCTACATTCAGTTTGAGAATGAATATAGGCTGTGGAGGCAGACTACTCAAATTAGAGTATTTTTCTAAACTGCTACACAATTTTGAACAAGTTTACCTAATGCTTTTGCCTCAGTTTCTTCATCTGTAAAGTGGCTGTGATAATACAACCTACCTTATAAGGTGGTTGTTGAGGTTAAATGTTGAGGTAATTAATAGAGTAGTGCCTACATTCTTATTCACTCAATAAGTAATTATTAGTATTTCTGTGCAGTAAGTTCAGAGAGAAGAAACAGGCAAAGATCCCTGCTTTCATGAAGTTTATATCCGAGTTGGAGGAGGGGAGACAAAATAAACAAATGTGTAGTTAAAACCTTTAGTATGTTAGATGGGAGTAAGTGCTGTGGAGAATAATTAAGCAGGGAAATAATGAGGGGTTGGGTTGCAATTTAAAATAGAATTAAAAAAAAAAAAAACCTTTAGTATGTTAGATGGGAGTAAGTGCTGTGGAGAATAATTAAGCAGGGAAATAATGAGGGGTTGGGTTGCAATTTAAAATAGAATTAAAAAAAAAAAAACCTCACTGCCTTGGAGTTGGATCCAACTCATAGCAACCCCTCCTTGGATTTCCGAGGAGGTATCACTACAGAATTAGATTGCCCAATCTTCCTTCCAAGGAGTGGCTGTTGTTGTTGTTGTTATGTGCCGTCGAGTCGACCCCGACTCATAGCGACCCCTCCTTGGGTTTCCGAGGCAGTATCACTGCGGAAGTAGGATTGCCCAACCTTCCTTCCGAGGAGTGGCTGGTGGGTTTGAACCGCCAGCCTTCTGGTTAGCAGTCAAGTGCTTTAGCCACTATGCTACCAGAGCTCCCAAGGAGTGGCTAGTGGGTTTGAATTGCCAGCCTTCTGGTTAGCAGTCAAATGCCTTAGGCACTACACCACTACTAGCCCAAGGGTTGGAGGTTCAAACTCATTCAGATGTGCCTCAGAAGACAGACTTGGCTCACTGCTTCTGAAAGGTAACAACCTTGAATACCCATGGAGTAATTCTCCTTTGCACACGTGGAGTCCCCATGTGTCAGAGTAGACTTGATGGCAACTAACAATAACAACAAAGATAAGATATTTGAGGAAAAACCTCAAAGGAGGAGAGGGAGCCAGCCATATGGACATCTGGGATATCTGGAGGGGAAACAACAGGTCCAAAGGCCCTGAGGTGAGAGTGAGCCTGGAGGGTTGAAGGAACACCAAGAAAGGTGGAGCGGAATGACTGCAGAGGTGAGATCAGAGGAGAAGGGCCAACCCTGCACAGCTCAGGGGACGTCTATGGCTTTGATTCTGTCAGAGATGAGGAGACACTGAGGGTATGAGTAGGTCAGTGACATGATCTAACTGACATTTAAAAACATCGCTCTGGCTGCCAGGTTGAGAATAGACTGGGCAGGGGGAGGGGAAGTGAGAAAGCTAACACTGTAATCCAAGGGAGAGAGGAGGGTGGCTTGAACCAGGATGGAGCAGTACAAGAAGAGAGAATGTGACAAAAAAGAAATGAGATTCTATGGAAGAATCCTGATCAAAAGGGGGGAAATGCAGAATAGAACTTCACATTTTCAAGGAATCCAGATACTCTAGAGCCAAGGAGGCTGGATGAACCTCTGAAACGATAGTCCTGAGATAATCTGTAAATCTTAACTTTTAAACCAAAAATATTCCCTTAACTTCTTAAAACCAAACAATAACCTAGCTTAACTAGTGAAGAATGTTTGCATTGAGCATTGTGGTTTTTTTCGTTGTGATTTGGGTGAAAGTTTACAGAACAAATTGGTTTTCTATTCAACAGTTCATATACGTTTTGTTTTGTGACACTGACCGCAGTCCCCACAGTGTAACAGCACTTTTCCCACTGCCTTCCTGCTTCCCTTTTCCATTCATCCTTCTTTCCTATCCATCCCTTCCTGCCTTCTGAGCTTTATCCCCGGGAAGATGCTGCCCTTTTGATCTGGGATGGTTGATTGTTCTAAGGAGTGTGTACCTCCTTGGTGTTATTGTTCACCTTATAGGCCTGTGTATCGTTTGGCTGAAAGTTGAGCAATGGGGGTGAGTTCAGTTCCAGGCCTGAAGGGTGTCTAGGGCCATGGTCTCAGGGGTTCTGCCAGTCTCTATCAGATGAGTAGGCCTGATCTTTTTTTTTTTTATTACTTTGAGTTTTGTTCCACATTTTCCTCCCACTCTCCCTGGGACCTCCTATGTGATCCCTTTTGGAGCATTGTGCTCTTTTAAGATCTATGTGGGATCAAATTGACAATAGCAACTCAGAAAATTAGATAGGAACCTCAGGGGGCAGGGAGTTTATGTTAATGGAGGAGGAACAACTTGGAAAAGGAGGGTGAGAATAGTTGCTCAACTCAAAGAATGTAATCAATGTCACTGAATGGTAAATGTAAATGGTAAATGTGGTATTGAAGTGGTGTATGGTCTGCTGTGCTGCCGTTCGTTCTCAGCAACAACAAAAATAAAGTACTTAAAAAAATTAAGAAATAATATGAAGAACTAAACATATGGAATGTCGGATAGTAATATGTGCTACAGAAAAAAATAAAGCACAGATGAGGGACAGGGAATATGGAGGGTGACACTGAAGCAAAGACTTAAAGGAGATGAAGGAATAAGTCATTGAGAGACTGTGAAAGAACTTCTAAGGCCAAGGACACAACCATGCTGAGGCCCAGAAGCAGGAGCATGCCTGGCACAGGCCAAGGGAGCAAGGGGTCAGGGCCCTGGAATGGATGGCCGGGGAAGAGAAATAGGTGAGGTGAGTGGTAACAGGCCATTGCAAGAACGTTGGCTTTTGGGGAAGCCAGTAGAATGTTTGAGCAGAGGATTGACATGGTCAAATTTATCTGATCATTCTGACTACGTATAAAAAACAGACTATGAAATGGCAAGGAGGGCAGTGGGGAGAAGGATGAGGAAGCAATTGCAATAATCCAGTGAAAAATGACATCAGCGCTGGCAGGGTATTCAAGGTGGGAGGCCACGTATGTAGATGGTCAGATTCTGAACACATATATATGGAAGAGAGATTTGCTGGCAGATTGGATGTGGGATGTGAGAGAAAGCAAGGAGTCAAGGATGACTCCAGGATTTGGGGCCCACAAAAATAGAGTTGCTATTTACGAGATGGGGGAGGCTGTAATAGGATATCCTAGAGGGGGAGTCAAGAGTTGGATTTTGGACATTTATGCTGGGGTTGGGGTGTCTATTAGACATGCAGTAGAGCTGTTGAGATGCTTGAAGTTCAAGGAAAAAGCAGGGTTGATGGAACTCACAGTCAAGTGCTTGGCTGCTAACAGAAAGTTTGGGCAGTTGAAGTCTACCCAGAGGCATCTTGGGAGAAAGGCTGGGGGTCTACTTCTGAAAAATTAGCCATTGAAAAACCCTCTGGAGCACAGTTCTACTCTGCACACGTGGGGTCACCATAAGTCAGAGCTGACTTGACAGCAACTGGTTCTTGTTGTTCTGTTTTGCACATATAATTAATTTTGGAAGCCAGTGTTCCTTAAAACCCTGAGACTGGATGAGATCATCCAGGCCGAATGAGATTGGATAAGAGGAAGCCTGGGGCGAATCGTGCATACTTAGCACCCTGAGGTTGAGTGAAAGAGGAGGTGCCAGCTGAGAAGGATGGGATGGGTGAGCTCTGAGGAGAACCAGGAAAGAGATGGCCTGGAAGCCAAGACTTAGCCAGTCCTTAAAAATGTTTTCAAAGAATATTTAATGTTGTAGGGAAATGTTCACGGTAGGTTAAGTGGTGGGGGGAGAGGAGAAAGGCAGCATATGAAACACAATGTTAACTCTTTCTAAAAGGTGGTGGAGGGTTATTTTTATTTTCTTCATTGCAATTGTCTATATTTTCAACACCAAACATGCATTACTTTTATTAAAACAAAAACAACTTAGCCAAGAATATTTAAAAATAAATACTGGAAGGTGGATTTTGCTGTTGATAGCACTCTAGCTATTTCTGCCTTAAATATGTGCCTACAAAAGGGAATTTAAGTCCTCCCCTGTGGTGGGTGCCCTAGAAGTGGAACACTCCTCCCAAGCCCAGGGGCTTCAAGAGGGCTTTGGTCAACAGCAGCACCTTGAGGTAGGGGTGCTAGCCAAGTGAAAACTGAAGGCTTGTGGGGTGGAGGGGGTCCTGTGGCAGGTGACAGCACTGAGAAGTTATTGATCTGTCAGTGAGGTTGAGCTTTAAAATTGACTACTGCTACTACTAATAAAATGTATCAATACTTTAAGATTATTTAATAAAATTTTAGAGTAAAAAAAAAAAAAGGGAGGCTATGCTGTAGTTGAAGCTGGCTCTATCTCGGGACTGCTGAGCCAGCACCATCTGAGCCTGCCAGCCATGCCAGGAGTGACAGAAATGCCATGTGTATCCTTAGGACAAACTGTGGGCCCCACACTACTTGGCCTGGCATGGACTGACAGATGGACAGAAGAGCAGCTTCATTAAAAAAAAACAATTTATTAGCGTCTGTGCCACCAATTGCAAGTGAAGATCCCCAGGAGACAGGGCCTCCCCACCTGAGGCCCTGCAGAGTCACTCTGTGTGGGGTGGCAGTGTCCCATCTTGGGGTAGTGTCCTTGCTCATCTGACTCCAGTCCCATTGCTCCTGGTCCAGGGCTATGCCCCACCTCGAGACGCCATAGGGATGGTCTCCCCTGAGTGACTGTCGCCTCCGGCATCTGAGAAGACCCTGCCTCCAGAGGCTGGGGCCACATCCACCTGGATGACACCATGCACCTGGGAAAGCTGTGGGCTGTCCAAGCTGGCAATGAGCTGTCGGGGGCCTGGCCGCACAGGCACAAACGTCTGGCGCAGTGTCACTGTCTCATTGCCTCCGATGTCCCTGGGGACAAAGACAGGGTCATAGGTCTGCAGTGACTGGAGTGGGGAGGTAAGGGTGCACCCATGGCATCCAGAAAGCAGGGAGCAGGGGCGGAGTCAAGCAGGCATTTCTAGGTTCATCTGGAATCTCCACACCCATAACCAGGAAGTACAAAGCCTGAGCCCAGGGCAGCCACCCACCCACCCAGCTGCCTGAGCTGGAAATCTCACTGTCATCTGGGATCCTCCCTCACTGCTCCCCATTCCACCTGCACATAATGGTGGATGCCACCCCAGAGGCACCCCCTTCTCCACCTTACTGCTCCTGCCCTGGCCAGAACCTCCCCTACCTCACCAGTGGATTGCTAAGACAAAGAATACTGCAAAACGAGACCTTGAGGCCCAACACAGTATTGCCAAGTCCTTTCAATTTTTCCAAGAAAGTTTAAGAAAATCAATTATCTTCTACTATGATCATCATTCCAAAGAAGAAAGCATTTTATGCACCAAAATATTGAAGGATATTATCTCACAAAAAAAGGAAAGCCCTCCTCAAGAACAGACAGTGGCTGCTTTAATTGTGTATATGTGTGTGTGTGTGTGTGAGAGAGAGAGAGAGAGAGAGAGAGACTCGTGTATGTACATACACAAACAATACAGTGTCTTTATTTTCTCCCCTTTTTGTGGACTTCTGAATATCTATTCCCAAAACCATTCATCTGGGAATGACAATTTCACCAGCCTTTAACTGGCCTTATCTCCTATCTCATTTCTCCAATCTATTCTCCTAACCACTCAGGGGTGTGCTCAACCCTTCAAAGGCTTGGCTTCCTTGGCACTTCTGAGATGAGGTCTCATCTGATAAATAGGCTTGCTTTGACTCAGCCCTGCCTACCTTCACAGCCTAGTCATCTCCCACCATTCCTCCTGCCTCCAGCCCCACTGCCTCCCCTTCCCCTCGTTCACCTCCATTGTCATGCCTTGCAATCTTTGCCTTGCATGGAATGAGCCCCCAGTGCTCTCTCACCACCTTGGGCTGCCCTGTGAAGGCCACCTCGTTGTCCTCCAAGGCCCGGCCTCCACCAACTCCTCAGCTCCCCTCACCCTCAGGAAAATTAATCTCGCCCTTCCCCAAGCTCGTCCAGCATCTGCACTTGCACTTTATACACTGAACATGATTGCATTTCTTTTGTAAAATGCTCTTGCCTATTAGAATCTGTCCTTTCCTGTCTCTGCTTAAACCCTCACCTCCAGCCTCTTACTTGACCTAGATCTACATTGGAAGTCCTCTCTGGTGCCAGACCCCAAACACCACAGTCTTCCAATGGCACGAGCAACATAGCTAATTCCAAGGACAAGCTCTCCCTTGTGCAAAGCATCTGGTTCAGAGCTTGCTTCTCTTGACTACTCTATTCCTTCCTCCACTACCTGTTAGCTGTGCAGTTTATAACAAGTTACTTAACTTCTCTGGTCCTCACTTTCTGGACCATAAAATGGAAATGAATGTAAATGAGGGGGTGGGATCAGATGGTCTTGAAGGTGCCTTTGAATTCCATGAAGGAGAGAAGGAGAGGATAATGGGAACCTAGTGCCCTAAAATATAATGTCATGATAAGGAGGTCTGGTGGCATAGTGAACAAGGCACTTGGCTAATAACCAGAAGGTCAGTGGTTCAAACCCATTAGCTGCTCCATGGAAGGAAGATGGGGTGATCTATGAAAATTTATAGCCTCGGAAACCCAGTGGGGGTCGCTATGAGTTGGAATCAACTGCATGGCAGTGAGTTTGTAAAGAGTTTAATAAATGAAGAAAATAGCTTAACAGATGAATTATGATCTGCATGGTTATAAATTTATGCTTTTAATTTGCACATGTTTTCATAGACGCAATGCTAAAGGTTGTGTAGGTCCAGGTCAGCCTTCAAAAGTCCAATCAACCAATATAATTGAACTACAATATTTTATGGAGTCCACAGGTGGCGCAAATGGTTAAGTGCTCAACTACTAGCTGAAAGGTCGGTTGTTTGAGGGAAGCTCTGGTAGCACAGTGGCTAAGGCACTTGATTGCTAACCAGAAGGCTGGCGGTTCAAACCCACCAGCCACTCCCCGGAAGGAAGGTTGGGCAATCCTACTTCCGTAGTGATACTGCCTCGGAAACCCAAGGAGGGGTCGCTATGAGTCAGGGCTGACTCGAGGGCACATAACAACAACAACAACAAAAGTGCCTCAGGAAACAGACCTGGCAATGTGCTTCCAAAAAAGGTCACAGCCTTGAAAACCCTATAGAACAGTTCTACTCTGCACACATGAGTCTCCATGAGTCAGAATTGACTTGATGGCAACTAACAACAATCACCTTTCATTATAACATCATTTCTAATAGAAACTGCTTTCCAGGTTCAACTGGGAATGTCACGATCTCTCTCTGCTCTTGTCTTAATGTCAGATGAGGAGGCCTTTGACACACCCCTGTTTGTGAGTTTAAGCTGACTACAAGTCAGTTATAAGCTGGAGCCTGTCTTCAACTGAGGGAGGTAATGAAACTAACTCTCAGACAAGGGCCCCAGAACTCAGGCATCCAAATGAACATTGTCCTTGGTCTACCTATGTTGCCAGTGTTTGAAACATTTTAAAAAACTCCCCTTGGATTTTTTTTTTTTTTTTGGAGTCATTTAAAACCACACACACAACCACAAGTGCACATAGTCACACACACAGACCAGACAAGCCTGTTCCTCTTTTACAACCATGCCTCAATTTTTGACCCAAAAGGACATATTTTCCAACTTATTCACTTATCTTGTTAATTAGTCTTAGGTCTAAATGACTTCAGGCTGTCAAATCCACCTCTCAAGAAGGGAGATTGGCCACTCTTAGGACATTCTAAAGAGTATGAGTCAGGCTGTGGGGGAAATTCCCGAGAAGGGTTTGGAAAAGACTTCCAACTTCCCATGGTGGCTGCTTCGGTGGTGACAACAGTCAGCTGGAGGAGTAAGTTCTGGAATGTTTATTAAGTGGCCAATCACCATGCTTGGGCGGCACACCTGGTGGTATAATGGGGCTCCATACCACACAGCCTTTGATGTGCAAATGAGAGTCAAAGTATCACCTGTCTTGGAATCTAACATATCTGAGCCAACCAGGGACATCCCTACAAGGCTAAAAACTGTCCGGAGGCCCCAGCCCTGGCTCACAGTAGCAAAAGAGCCACAGAACATCCAAGCAGGTCCTGCCTTGAGAAACCATCATCCAACCCTCTCATTTACCACTTTCAAATGGGGGAGGGTCACATGAGCCCCCAGCTGGGGAGAGGGGCCAGCTCTCCTTGTCACGGTGGTCTTTTTCTGACTCCCAAGGGAGGGCAAAAGTCAAAGGCCATGGCAGGGATTGGTGAAAGGAGTCCAGTTCTGGGATCTCACAGAATGGGGTGGGGCTCTGTCATGGTAGAGACTGAGAGATACCTTCAGGGCAAAGCCAGCAGGGCAGGCCACATGGGGAATCTCATTGCTACTCTCTAAGACCCTTGTAGGAGCTCTGGTAGCATAGTTCCTAAGGCACTTGACTGCTAACCAGAAGGCTGGCGGTTCAAACCCACTAGCCACTCCTTGGAAGGAAGGTTGGGCAATCTACTTCCATAGTGATACTGCCTCAGAAACCCAAGGAGTTGCCGCTATGAGTCGGGGCTGACTCGACGGCACACAACCACCACCACCACCACCAAGACCCTTGTAAGGTGGCACGACGGATCACATCCTCCTCAGGGACTCAGGCTGGGGTCAAAGGGTCAGGATAGCAATCCTCACAGCCTTGGCCTAATGGCCAAAGAGGAGGCTACCCCAGGCAGAGCCCTACTGTGTGTAGGTGGTCAAGGTCCTCCGTTTCTCCACATCCACTCTCCTCCCACAGGCCATAGCTTCCCTCAGGTGCTTTCTGCCTAAAGAGAAAAATGCCTACACCTGCCCCTGGCAAGCTGGTCCAAAAGGTCAGCCTCTGGACTTCTCTATTTTCCCTCTGTGCTCTACCTTGGGAAGGCCATAGTGGCACATGTGAGTCTGTGTCAAAGGTGACAGCCACTGGCTGCAGGCCCAGGGACACAAGCACTGAGTGTGCCCTCACTGGGCACTGTGTCTTACCAAGCTTGGGATCAGGCCCAGGCAGGCTGGGTGAAAGATGAAGCATGGAGTTTTGTCCTCTGGAATTGCCACTCGGCCCTGAGGGCGTGGACCAAACCGTGGGCTTTAGAGCCTCTGCATGGTATGTGCCATGGTAGGAAGAGCAGAGTTTGCCCCTATGGGCTGCAAGACCCAGGGGATCCTGGTCACCAGCTTCCCCACTGTAAACTGGGTATGATGATGGCAATAATAAAAATAACAACTATCAAGGGAGCACTTACTTTGTGCCAAGCACTACACTGAATTGCTGAATGCTTTACATATATTAAGGAGTCCTTGGTGGTGTAGTGGCTAAGACATTTGACTGTTAACTGGAAGGTTGGTCGTTCAAATCCACCAGCTACTCTCCAGAAGGAAGACTGGGCAATCTACTTCCATAAAGATTTACTGCCTCGGAAACCCAAAGGGAGTCACTATGAGTTGGAATTGACTTAATGGCAATGAGTTTGGTTTGGTTTGGTTTGAGTTTACGTGCATTACCGCATCTAATTCTCACAGCAGCCCTAGGAGGCAGGTTGTATTGTTACTCCCATTTTACAGATGAGCGAACTGAGCCTTAGCAAAGGTAAATCACTTGCCAAAGGACACATGTCCAGTGCAGGATGGGGCTGGGACTTGAACCCAAGTCTTTTTGGTTTCAAAGCTTTGCTATTAATCACATGATAATCTCTAATATACTTCAGAGGAGTTTTGGGATCTCTAAATTAGATAATGTTCCTGAAAATGTCTTGTCAACTCTTCAGTGCTGGGCAACAGTTAGTTAAAGTCTTTACACAGATTACTATGTAAAGTGTCTGCTTCCTCATTAGATGGTGAGGCAGGGCAGGGACACAGAGCACAGCACTAGGCACACAGCAAACCAAACCACAACCAAATTCACTGCTGTCAAGCCAGATCTGACTCATAGCGACCCATCCTTGGGTTTGCAAGGTGATATCACTACAGAAGTAGATTGTCCAGTCTTCTTTCTGAGAGGTACGCAGCATGCCTCCTTAAACACTAGCTGGACTGAATGGAGTCAGGAGGTAGTGCTGGCTGGCCCCAATCTGCCTTTTTGGGTCCTGACAGAACAGAGCCGTTCTGATCAAGAGAGCTGAGCCCAGGACAAAGCTGAGCCGAGGGCAACAGGTGGGAGAGAGGCGAGACTCACCCGACATTGAGGACCTTGGGTCTCTGTAACCCGGAGCCCTCGAGCCGGAAGACAACATTGGTGAGGGTGACGGGCAGGGGGTTCTTGAAGACAATCTGTACTTCACACTCCTGTCCAACCACTGCTGCTCCCAATAGCTGAAAGAGAAAGCAGTCCACCCACCATATCAGAGACCCTCGCCAAACACATGGCAATTGTACCCCCACCAGAGAGAAACTCCTTAGAAAAAAACCCTTCCCTTGAGCCCCACATTTCTGCCCTTCAGAGAAGCCTTGATCTGCTCTCCAAAAGCAAGCGAGGAAACTCCAGGGCATCCCCCAGACAAGGTTACCACAGAATCGGAAACAGGAGATCCTATTTTACAGATGAGGAAATTGAGAGCCCAGAGGCAGACCTTGACCTTCCTTGCCTGGAACTGCTCATCAGGCCAGCCTGGTCCTGGCTTAGTACCCTCTTCCCTTCTTCTCTGATTTCCTTCAGCTCCTGACCACTACTCTCTGACCAGCCCTCACACCTCAGCAAGCTGCACTCACCGTGAGGGAAAGGTCTGGGGTACGCAGACGGAAGGTATGCTGCTTGGCCAGCACCTGCCCGTTCTCTTTGACATGGCCTGAGATGTTGAGTAGCATGGCCCCCTGGTCCACAAGGTGGGGTTGGTACTCACGGTAGGCCACAGGCATGACCACACGTTCCGCTGGGGAAGAGACATGGCATCACTCAGGCCTGCTTGCTTAGACATGGCCTCCCTCAGGCCGTTCCCCACTGCTCCTGGGGTCTCTAAGCCCACAGTGGTGGTGTGCCAGTCATCTCAAGGCAAGGCTGAGTAAGGAGCACTTACAGGCCCCTGGTGCTAGGACTACTTCCTTCTTGTCCTCCTTGAAGACAGACCCAGTGATGCCTGTGTAGAAGGTGACTGAGAGGTAGAGGTGCAGCTTCACAGTGCGGCGGCTACTGCTGCGATTGGTCAGCACCACACAGACCGTCAGATCCTGCCCTGTCACAGCATCCTGTGCCTCCACCTGCACTGCCACATCCTCAGCTGAGTCGCGTGTGGCATACACGTTGGGTTTGCTGCCATGGGCAGCCGCTGTTTCCACTGCCTTCCGCTCTGCTTCTGAGCCTGGGGGTTGAGGGTCAGAGTGAGGTTATAGTGACTACTGGGGGTGGGCTGGCCTGTAGGAGTGATGAGAGGGAGTGCTCAGCTTGGGGCCAGGGTGGAGGAATGATACCTTCTGGGTGCTTATAGAGGTGGGTGATGTCCTCTCGCATGTTGGAGCCGATGGCCTTTGTGACGATGAGTGTGCCGATGGCCTTCTCCTCCACATACACAATCTTGAAACTGCCATCGTCCTGCCGCTGCCAGTATACCTTGTCACTGTTCACCTATTGGGCATGAGTAGGGGTGGTGTGAGCCAGTGATGGGTGAACCAGAGGGTATGGGGTTAGGCCTGATCCCTGGCTGCCTTCTCCAGATTCCAGAAGCTGCAGGGCTAGGAGCTTCCTGGCAGAGCCCAAAAGGGGGATTTTCCAAGCGGAGCCGGAGGAGCCAGGCAGAGCAGGGAAGAAGCTGGTCTGGGAGGCTCTTTGCAGAACATTTTGGCATTAATAACAGTAATCCCTTATGCTCATTCACTGGCTTTATGACTTATAAAGCAGTTTCATATCCATTATCTCTTTTGATCCTGAGTACAGGAAGCATGACAGCCATTATTATCCCTTTTTACAGTTGAGGAAACTGTGACTTGGAGAATGAATGACTTGATCAAGGTCACACAGCTAGTCAGTCAGCAGGGAAGTCAGAACCAGAGCACATAGGACCAAGGCCAGAGTTCCGGTCACTCCAGGTGGGCTGAGAAGGCACCTGGGGCACAGCCTGGCCTTACCTCAGCAAAAATGAAGGGTGTGTCATACTTCATATAGACCAGACCATTCTTGATGGACTCCACAGAGCAGGGGCCACAGCAGAAGATGCCTAAGGGAGTGAGGACAGGGCAGAGGTGAGAGGTCCAAGGAGGCCAAGAGGGACCCTTAGATCCTGGGCAGAGGCCCACATGGGGCCCTAGACCTGCCTATCAGGCACAGTGCCCACTGCCTGGTGGCCTCTGGAACAAGGCCAGGAGCTGTCACCCAAACACCTGGGGTTAGCCACCACCCAGTCCAACCCAGGGAGGGAAAACAAAGAAGAGAACACTTCCATTTAGCTTTCAGTCAGCTTTCCTCAGCCCAGGCTGCTCTGCTGGGGGCTGGGGTGGGTGCAGATATGTGAGTAGAGAGGACACAGCCAGCTATAGAGCTGAGGTATGGGTCTGCCTCGATAACCAAGTCACCAACTAGGGCTGGATATCCACTGTATGTGGCCTCCAGAGCACAACACCCCCATCCCTCCAGGACCAATCCTGAGCCCACCATGGCTCTGCTTGCTGGACAGGAGAGCACTGACACCACCACCGCCAACTCCAGAAAGATCCAAACAACCCCTCAGTTCGGCAACTAGCTGTGTCCTCTCTACAGGGGGGTGGGAGGAGAGCTGGCGAGAAATAGAACCTTCTCTTAGTATACTCAAAGGAGCTCTGGTGGCATAGTGGATAAGGCATTTGGTTGCTAACCAGAAGGTCAGTGGTTCAAACCTACCAGTCGTTCCGCAGAAGGAAGATGGGGTGATCTACTCAAGTATACTAAGTATCCTTAGTATCGTAGAGGAGATGGGCATCGAGGGTGGGTTTGGTAGGAGAGGAAATAGAATAAAAAGTGAAGACCATCTAGCAGGGAAATATCTTGGACATCACCTAGTACTATACCCTTTTCACCAAAGAGAAAACTGAGGCTCAGCAAGGTGAAGTAAATGCCTGGATCTCCCAGGACAGTTGGATAAAGAGAGAACAGAAGGAGCTAACATTTACTGAATAGCTACTATCTTCCAGGCATGCTGGCTACATTTCTTGCTTACTCCTTACAGCCATCTGTATAGTATATTGCTGTTGTTAGTTGCTGTTGAGTCAATTCTGGCTCATGGCAATAGCACATGTGCAGAGGAGAACTGCTCCACAGGATCATTTGGAGACAAAAAAAAAAGGGGGGAGGGACTAGGTTTGCTGGTCCGATAGAGCCTGGTGGAACCACTGAGACTATGGCCCCTAGCTGCCCTTCAGGTCTGGAATTGAACCCATGCCTGTGGTTTCCAGCCAAACAAAAGACAGGCATATGAGTTGAATATTTACCTGAGGTAGATACACTCCTTGGAGAGAACAATCATGGGAGAAAGAAGGGCTGCTTATGCACCCTCTGAGACAGCTCAAAGGGCAGGAGTGCATGGAGGGATGGATACAGGGAAGAGGTGACTATTAGGAGGAAGTAGGAGGGGAGATGTTGCATTATGGTAAATTGTGGTCAATGTCATGAGACAAAGTGTATGTGAACTGCTGTATGGAAAGTGAATTTGCTCTGTAAATTTTCACCCAAATCACAATTAAAAAAAGAAAGAAAGAAAGAAAGAAAAAAACAACAACAACAAAACTGCTCCACAGGGTTTTCAAGGCTTTGGGAAGCAGATCACGAGGCCTGTCTTCCAAGGCTCCTTCTGGTGGGTTCAAACTGCCAGCCTTTCAGCTAGCAGCTGGGTGCTTATCTATTTGCCCCACAGGGGACCCTCCATATGGCATATATTAGCTCCATAGTACACATCCACCAGCCACTCATCGGAAGGAAGGTTGGGCAATTTACTTCCATAGTGATACTGCCTTGGCAACCCAAGGAGAGGGGTCGCTATGAGTCGGGTTGACTTGATGGCACATAACAACAACAACAACATAATACACACAAAGACACCAAAGCCCAAAGGTGTGAAGTTCCTTTGGCCCAAGATCACGTGTCTAAGATCAAGCCTCTGGCTGGCTGGTGCTAGAGCTCTCTGCCTTCCACCTGCCTACTGCTTCCCAGGGTGGGGGCCAGAGCTCAGGTCTCCAGTGTCCTGGGCCAGGCTGTTCCAGGCACTACAGACATCACTGGGCTGCAGAACTGAGGGGGCACTGTTACTCAGGAGATTGAGAGGGAGGGTCTAGCTGGAGACCAGAGAAGGAATGCAGGCTATGTCAGGGAGAGGTAACCCAGGGTAAGGAGGGGAGAGCTGGAATGAAGGCAGCAGCAGGTTGGGCTGCCTGGGGCTAGAGTGACAAAACAGGAAGGGGGTGGGAGACCTGTTTGAGGACAGAGTAGACAGGTTTCATTTTCTCAGAAACGCATCTATGTGGATACAGAAAAGAGACATGAAGGATACGTGAATAGTAATTACATCTTAGTGCTGGGTTATAGGGGTGATTTTCTTCTTTGAACCTGAGTCTGTGATTTTGCTATCCTGTACATATAATTCAGCATGAGCAATGGACAGACAGGACAAGAACTTGGTGAAAGTGAGAGTGAGTGGTGAAAAGCTTGTCTGTCAGGAAACTGGATTAACTCTTTTGCTAACCTATTGGTTTGGGCCCCAGAGAAAGTCATGTCACCTCTCCAAAGCTCAGTTTCTCAAAAATCCAGTAAGGGACTTAGAATGGTCCCCAAAACTGGTGATCTTCAGAATCAACAAGAGAACTTTTGGAAACATAGAGCCTTGGAATCTGCCCCAGGATAGTCTGATGGAACAGGTCTAGGGTAGGACCTAGAAGTTTACTTTAAAACAGAACAAAAATACCCAAAACCTCCTGAAATATGAAGAAGAAACCTTTACATTTTATGTTATTCAGTTCCACACTTTCTTTTTCTGCCAAGCATGTATTATTTATAATGGCTTCTTTTAACTTTAAAATAATATATGCAAGTAAAAGTTCCTTTAATTAATTATCTGAAGGATACATAAGCAAATAAAGATAGTGGACTTGTAGGGCAATGAAACCATTCACTGAATATTCTTGAATCTTTTGAATTTGGAACCATCTGTATGCATTAATCATTGTTGTGTTGTTGTTGTTATGTGCCGTTGAGTTGGACCCGACCCATAGCGACTCCTCCTTGGGTTTCTAAGGCAGTATCACTACGGAAGTAGATTGCCCCATCTTCCTTCCGAGGAGTGGCTGGTGCGTTTGAACCACCAGCCTTCTGGTTAGCAGTCAAGTGCCTTAGGCACTATGCTGTCAGAGCTCCTCGTTAACCATTTTAAAATAAATAAAACTTAGGCAAATAGATAGTTACATAGCTGAAAATAAACTAACAGATACACAGGTGATTCAGTTGATAAGCCAGTTTTAGGGACCAGACCCCAAAAAGCCAAACTCATTGCTGTGGAGTCGATTCTGAGTTGTGGTGACTTCATGTGTTGCAGAGTATAAATGCTCTATAGGGTTTTCTTGACTGTAATCTTTAAGGAAGCGGATTGCCAGGCCTTTCTTCTGCAATGTTGCTGGGTGGGTTTAAACCATATGGAATTACAGACTTGGCTGTAAGGCCAGTTCACTGCTGACACTCTGTAGTGTATTACCATAGGGGAGGGAGAGGGCCCAGTTGGGGTGCAGGGGTTAGGTCTTACCACTGCTGGTCTCCTGGGGTGTGGCATCTACCACCTGCCACCCATTGAAGCCTGATGGCAAATCTGGCCTCTTCATCCAGCAGTCATTCCACACATGAAAGTTCCTGGGATGGGAACCGAGAGAGAGCTGTGTCTGAGCATCTTGTCCAAGGCCTCCCATCCTGCCCATCTCATCCCTCACCTCTGGCCCTCAGGTCACCCATCCTCACTAAGCATGGGCCATCCAGCCCCAGCCCAGCCTCACCAAACAGAATCATGGTTCAAGTGCTCAAGTGGCTTCATGTTCTCATCAAAGTAGATGTCCATGGTGAGGGATGTGTCTGTGTCATGTGCAGAGTTGAAGTTGGTGACGGTCCGGGTGGCCAGGCCCAGACAGCGCAGCACTGCAGAGGAACCGCGGTCAAGGGTCAGGGCCAGGGTCAAGGCAGGAGTGGGAGGCAGGGGAGATATCAGGAATGTGAAGGAAAAAGGGCAACTGGGATTGTCAGGCTGGGCTTGGACCACCAGGGTCAGGGGTTACCAGGTTCAGGAGGCCTTCTGGGTCAGGGAGCACTGGGGTTAGGGGAAACCAGGCTCAGTCCCTGCTTGTCTTTCTCCCTCCTCTCCCCAAGGCCTCTCTCTGTTGTTAACACTAATTAATGATAATTAAGGCCAGCCCACATCCACTCCCCCGCCTGTGCCCTGCACTGTAGCCACAGCTGAGCTGGGCTGGGTAAAGGTGGAGCCTGGCTTCCCTCCCTCTTCCTTGTTGGGCCAGGTCACTTCTGTCCCTGTCCCTTTACTACCTGTTGTGGTCACGCCAGCAAAGACCCAGCACTGGCCATAGGGGACTGAATAGCCAGTGCGTAGGTAGCTGAGTAGAATTTCCACGCTGCCCACCCATGCTGATGGGTTGGTGCCTCGGGAATAATCGCCAGACCAGTTTCCAATCAGGACCCCATTGTCATCCAGGGAGTTCACCTGCCCAGGAGAGGAGAAGCGAGTTGGAGAAAGAAGATCAGGGCTGGTCATGTGGCCCCCAGCCCAGACTCTGCCCGTGCAGCCACCCCTCACCCCTATACCCCAGGATCTAGACATCACCCAGAGCCCCACCCACCCTCCACTGAGCCATCTGCCCCCACCCTACCACCCCTGGTCTGACACAGGAATGTGATTCCAGGCTGTGCCAACTATGGGGTTTGGCCCTACATTCTACAGGAGCTGGGAAAGGAGCCAGGAAGGAGGGATTGGGGGCCGGCAAGAGAGGGAAGAGGAAGCATAAGACCCTTTCCCACAATATCCTTTGCAAGGGCAGGAACAAGCCTGAGGGTCCTGGAGGACTCCAGGGAGGGCAGGGTCATAGCAGGCAGACATGACACACAGAGTGTGCGTGCTCAGAGACACAAAGGCACTCACCATGGCGGAGATGACCCGGGAGACACTGACTGGGTCCCCGCGGCCCCCATATGGCATCCCTCGCCGGTCTAGGATGTACAGACAGGCGTCTAGCACCCCATGGTCAAACTGAACGGAAGGAGAGCACGAGTGACTGTGGTCACTGTGGTCATTTGAACCCCAGGCCAGCACTCCACTCCCTTGCTCCCACTCCCACCCTGCCTCTAGTGCTCCCACATACAAGGGATTCTGGTCAGCCTTACCTGGCCGTAGTTCCAGGTGCGCTCGCCAATCTGTGCTTCAGTCCCATAGTAAATTCTTCCAGACTCATTGAGCACATACTCCTGCCGCCAGTCCTCATGGTCCACATACACGATGTCCTCTGTGCCCCCAGAGCACACATGTCTTGATACCCCTCAGCCTCCTTTGCCCCTCCCTCCCTCTGGGCCTCCCCTGCCCCAGGGCCAGTTATGCAGGACTCAAGTCCACAGAGAGGGGTAGCCCCAGCCTGACGGGACTGCTCCCAGGCATGATGGAGAGTAGTTGTAACTGGGGCCCTTTAGTAGGAGAGGCAAAGCTATGTGACCATAGGCTGGTCACTTTTTCACATGGATATTAGGTCTCACCTGGACAAGGGGAAGCTGTCCAGGGCCAGACATTCAAGTGCTCAGCCTGATCCTGGGCAAGGACACCTTGCCCTCCCTTTCCCACCTGTCTACCCTTGCTTTTGACTCCAGCATGCTCACCTGGGCACCAGGGGTTGAAGAGGATGTAGATCTCGTTGTGGGGGTCAAAGGGCAGTTGGAACTCTCCGGCATCTGAGTGTGTGCGTACCGTGAATTGAAACTTGCCGATGATGGAGTTGGGGGAGGTATGGACTCTCAGGTTCAGAGTCTGCCCATCAGCTTTGGTCACTTGGGCCTTCCAGCCCCCGCTGCCCCCCTTACCCACTGGGATGATCACGCGGGTGCCCTTGCCCACCTCAGGGTTGTTGCCTAGAGTAAGGGAAGCAGCAATTAGCTGGTGAGACTTCCCAGAGGAGAGGGGATGGAATCTTGGACTTCTCCCAGCCCCACCCAGCATGTGTATGAGCCAGTGTGTGTGTCCCTGAGTTGGGTCATCATTTTAGTCTTTGACAGTCTCTCTGAGAGCAGCTCTGTCTCCACCCGATGCTTGGCCGCGTGCTGGGGCAAGGCTCCAGTTTAACATCCCAAACCTGTTCCCCTGACATTGACCTCAGAGGTGGGGAGGAGAGTTACCAAGGCCACTGTCACTTCCTGCCTGCCTGACTGTCCCCGTGCCTGCGCTGGAGGAGCGGAGCCACCTGGCTGGGCTCAGGTCCTCTGACCTGCGTGAAAGGGCAGTCTGGATGCTGATAGCCAACCCTGCCTGCTCTCTGGGGTTGCAGCCTCCAGAGCTCAGGGCATCCCTGGTGGAGGTGCTGAGGGTACCTGGGAAATTAGAGGCTGGAATGGGCAAGGTTAGGCCCTAATCAAAGGGTATGATGAGTCTTGCACCTCCAGCAGTGTCATAATCACCAGCCTGGGCAGTCAACGGCCACTAAGCAATGCAGTGACGGAGGCATTTGCCCTGGGCCATTGGGCTAGAGAGACCGAGACAGAGTTGGACAGATTGAGTAGAGAGAGAGCGAGCCAGCCACACCCTGGAGAAAGAGAACAGACCCTGAAAAAGCAATGCTGAAGGAGACATGGAGGAAGGCCTGTGAAGAGGAGATACTTTGAGACAGATGGCCCTGGAGGCTTGAAGAGGGAGAGCTTGGAAAAATGGTGACACCATGACCCTTCCTGACACACACCTAGGGACATACACACTTGCACCTGACTTAACTGGTAGCCTTAAGGAGTGGGGTTAGGGAGAAGCCTAAATATGTTTCTTTGACCCTAATGCCAGGGCTGGGAAGCCCTGCTAGCCACTCCCACCCCCACACATAGAATCTAGGGCTTTCACCCTTCAGGCCCCACTGACCAATGAGCAGCTCCAGGGTGATGCGATCAGAGGACTCATAGGGCCGTGACAGGAAGAGGACTACACAGAAAGGCTGCCCACGGCGCAAAATCAACTCCTCATATTCAAACTCGTCCGTGTGGTGCTCTTGGCGGTTCCGGTCTGAGCGTGAACTTAGCATATCCACGCCAATTACTACCAGCATGCCCTCTGCAAGGCCACAGCTCTACGTTAGTGAAGCTCCCTCATTACCCTCCCAGCCCCCAAGCCCCATTGAGGCCCCTCAGCTCTCTGATAAGATGGACAGGTCAGTCTTACCTCGGATGGTGCCATCTCCAGCTGCATTCACACCGCTGCCCCGGGAGGCATTCACACCGCTGCCCCGGGAGCCAGGTCTTCGAGCCCCAGTGCTGGCCCCAGCGCTGGACCCTCGACCCCTGGAGCTTCGGTTGTCACGGGGCTCAGGCCCCCAGTCATCATCTGCATTCCGGCATGAGCAACAGCCACAGCAGCGAGCCCAGAAGGAGCGGCCGGAGCGCCGGGAACGTCTGCCTGGCTCTGGTTCTGGCTCTGGTTCTGGCGAAGGTGTGGCAGTGGGCTGCCAGGAGTTTCCGCCCCAGCGGCCTACGTCCGACCGAGGACTGTCCATTGTGCCTATGAGGGAGAAGTAGGGGGGCTCTGATCACACACACTGAGAACAAAGCCACTCCGAACCCTCCTTACCGGGGACTCCCCACCCAGTGCTCCTCCATCCAGAGCTGAGGCAATCCCAGCTAGATAAGGAGTCTGATCTAGACCCATCTAGAGACCTTCTGCAAAGACCCCATTCAGACTCACCCAGAAAAGCTTCCCACTCTGCAGAGAATTTTCCCCTCCTCTCCTCACACTGATGTCTACCAAACTACATCGAAACACTAGATGCCCAATGGAGAAACCCATTCAAGAACTCATCCCAGAAAATGTTCAAAGTTCCCTTCACAGGCACTTGTCATAGACTGAAGACCAAGCAAACAGACCAGAGTCTTAACGATCCTGTGCCTGCTCTAAGGGCCCCTGGTTGGCCCCTTGGTCTAGTGGTCCAAGCCTCTGGGATCGCCCATTTTTTAGCAGAGATCTTCCAAAGTTCCCCACAAAAGGCAGCGGATTGAGTCCGGGTCTGGGTCTTTGGCATCCTCACTTCAGGTCAACCAGGCCGTCGGGAGGGGCGGGGCGCAGCAGATGCCCGGAGCCCGCGCTTGTCCCTGGTCCCTGGGCCCCGGGCGCCGCGTGTAGGAGTCTGGGGAGCCTGCTGAGGCTGAGTCCACCTGGCCTGGAGCCTCTCACCTGGTGGCGGCGTTGACAGCGGCAGCGCTGAGTCCCGGGCCGGGGTAGAACAGGTTGGGACCGACGGGATGAGACGGGGACTGATGGACAGGCTGGACGCTGCCGCGAATAGAAGGTGTGGGGAGGGCGTGGAGTAGTTTATGAGGGGGAGGGAGGAGCCGGTGCTGCTGGGAAGGGGAAGCTGGCTAGGCGGGTGCTGCTCTCCCCACCTCCCCCAACACACACCCAGGAAGAGTTCTAGGGCCTCTGAGGGCTATCAGGAGCTGGGAAAACTGGAATTGGCTCCTTTTCCCCTTTGGAGGAAATGAGATGATGCAGGGATGGATGGAGCAGGAGCTAGGGAAAAGGCCAGTTGGCCATCTGTCAGAGTTGAGGCCAGAGTGAAAGTGGAAGGACCCCACACAAGGCAGATTCCTGCCAGACTGGGTGTATGGGAAGCTCTGAGCTCTAAGGGGAGGAGACCCCTTCCATCCACACCCTGCCCAGCATACCCTGTTCTCTAGCTCATTTGCCTGACTTGCTCTCACTGGCCTAGCCACTGGACTCCCCTGTAGCCAGGTCAGGCTCTGCCCAGTGAAACTGGCCCTTGGGTTTGGTTCTGGGACTCATCCTGCCCAGGGAGGTCCCGGGATCCCAGCTCCAGACTGGTGACATCAGCAGCCAGGCCTCCAGACTGGCTCCACCGGCCAGCCCCTGATCTGCCGGCTCTACCAGATCCTCTGACACCCCCCACATACACCCCCACCTGTCTTTCCTTCTTCCTCCAGCTGCTCTGCAGTCCCTAGCATGGTGGGCTCCCCTCATCCCTCCAAGCTGAGGGGGTAGGGGTCAGAATAGGAGCTATCTCTTTCTCTCTCTGCCCTGGGAATTTGAGGAGGCTTAAACCTTTGCTCTCAGGTTTAGGTGGGAACTGGGGACCCCGCCTGAGGCTTCAGGGTACCCCCTTCTCTCATGGAGGAGTGTCTGATCAGCTGGAGTACAGTAGTTCCCCTCTTCTTTACCCTGAAATTCTTCCTGGGAATCCTGACCAACCGGCTCCAGGCACCTAACCTGTGTGCATCCTAACTCCACCCCTGTACTGGGAGAGACATGCAGATGCCACAGAGAGAGCCTCAAGGCAGAAAGAAGCCAGGTTATCTTCAGGGAGGCTTTCCTGAGAGTCCTTCAGGGAGGCTGGGGCCCTGTTCTTCAGTCCATCAGCCAGGGGCCTCTTCCCTCCCTCCCACTGGTGTCCCAGCTCTGCCCAAAGACCACTGAATAGAAGACAGTGCAAACAGGCTGGCAAGGAGACACGGAAGCAGAAGAGGCCAAGTTTGGTGATACATCAGGCAGGGAGGTGCTCTGGGGAGTGGGGACAGAGGCTCCAGCACCTGGCAGGCAGCCCTCCACACCCATGCTGACCTTTTCCTGTCTCCAAGTCCCAGAACCTTGCAGGAGTGTGTGTGTCTGCCCCAACTTTAATACCCTCAGAGAACACATCAGTGGAAATAAAAAATTCCAGGCAGGTGTGAGGCAGGTCAGCCAAAGAGCTTCATGGAGGGCTGGTGTGCATCACTATGGATACAGGAAGGGGCAGAGCCCTTAATGTCTGATGAGTATGTGGGCCCAGGCATATTCCCTAAGAACCAGGAAAATGCCTTCATCACACTCTTACACCCTCATTTTGATCAATCTTTCTTTTCCCCACCCAGTTACATCTGACTCTACCCTGACCCCTGAGCCACTCCTCTTTCCTCCTTCCAGGAGGGCCAGGTGGCTCAGGGCTTTCAAAGTCAAGACAGCACATGTGCATGTAGGTATGTGTGTGTTTTGGGGGAGCACAATGGTATCAGAAATCGACTCATACTTCAGGTTGCTGAGGCCATGGCTCTGGCCCAACCATTCCATTTAATACAGAAGCAAGAACGTGTCTAGAATTCCTAGGCAGAGGTGTAGAGATGACTTTGGCTCTAGCACTTAAGAGTCAGCAACCTTGGGGGAGTCTTAACAGCAGTTTCCTCATCAGTACAATGGGCTAATCATCTCCTCATGCTTAATTTCTTGTAAGACTCAAGTATTTTCAAGGGTTTCTTTAACCAAAAATGCTATTTATAGGGACTGATTTGTTGTTATAACAAATAAGGGTGGAGCAAGGGAGGTTGGGGTCATGCCTCTTGGGAACATAAAACACCAGACCCTTCTCAGCTCTGAATGGGTCAGGGTGGAAGGCAGGGTCGTGCGAAGGCTTTTTATCCTCCTTTCTAGCTGGAGAAACTTACAGCACTTTCTAGCTCTGAACCCAACACTGATCTCAATCCCAGCCTGTTACCTGGACCCAGTGCAGCCCCAAATCAAAAGGTGAACTCAAAGCCAGTCCCAGCTCTGAACTCTGCCCGAAACATTGAGGCTTTTGTCCTCCATGATAGGGAACAGAGTGCTGGAGAGCAGAGAGGGTGACACATCCTGAGTCTCTTTCCCTTTCCTTTACCATCAGACGTGGTGGTGGTGGTGGTGCCAGAGGCAGCAGGTTGGTGAACTGAGGGGGTCTCTCCATTCTTTATTTAGTTCCAATAAGTTAAGGGCAAAGGTGGGGGGCATCCTCTTAGGTGAGGATGCTGCTCACTAATGGCAGCACTTCAGTCAGCTGCTCTGAGATGCCCGCTGCTTGGCACAGAGGATTCCCCTGCAGGTTGAGGAGGACCAGTCTGGGACAGGAAGCAAGTGGCTGGAGCGCTGTGGGCTGCTGGAGGCCTTGGGCAGGAAGAAGAGTCAAGGAACACTCAGCAGTCTCCGTCACATCCACCACTCTTGTGCTTTCCCTTGTTTGATGGGCATCTCACGTTCCCTGGAGGGGGTAAGGTTCTAGGGAGTGAGGCAGGGAACTCATGCAGCAGGCTGGGGGTGGTCCAAGAAGGAGTGGTGGAGACTATGAAAAAGCAGAAAGCTAGCCTCATCTAAAGAGGCATCCACTACTCAGTAATGGCCAAGGACTGCCGAGTGGAAATGCAGGTTGAATGTTGCTTTAACTTCAACTTCTACTTTTTAGAAGAATCAGAAATCTATTTTTTTTTTTTTTAAATATGAAACTTCCTGATCTGTAGACTGTCTGTGAACCTGCTTCAGAAAGTCACTTCCAACCTGCAGAATCCACCAGTCCCAGTCAATGACAGCCCATCCAGCTCCCAGGGTAGTCTCTCCTCAGCCCCTGATCCCTCAACCCTCCCTCCTCAGGTGCCACCCACTCTTCTTGCTGTTTCTTGCTCCCCAGGGTGGCACCCCACCCTTCTCGTTGTCTGAGAGGCACCTAGAAGGAAGGATACGGTTGTTGCACAGTAAGAGCTCTCGCAGCCGGGGCAGGTTAGTGACGCCATCCAGGGACTCTATGGCATTATCATTGGCTTGCAGCACCTAGGGAGCCAGGAGGGCAGGGCAGCACAAGACAGAGCAGACAGCTGCCAGCTTGGGACTGGTATAAGCAACTAAAAGTGATCAGCTTACAGTGCATGGAAGGCTCAAGGGATCAGGCTGGGTGATGGAGTTGGGTGGGATGGGGAGAAGATAAGTGGGTCACCTGTGGGGGCTGGGAGGTTCTGGACCTCTGTTTAGAGGGTGGGCAAACTTCTCAGGTGGAGGAAGGAGGAAAGGACCACCCAGGGCAGCAATGGAAGTGCTTTACCTCAAGGCAGCGCAGGGCAGCCAGGGAAGGGGGCAAGGCTTGCAGACGATTGTGTGACAGGTCAAGATGAGTGACCAAGAGCAGTTGCTCCAGGTGGCAGAGCACCGTGAGATCCTGAGGAGATGACAGATAAGACACCCAATGAGTCCTGGGGGAGGGTCCTCAGCCATTGTTTGTTAGCCACTTGCTCCCTGGGTCCCACACAGACCCCAGCTGAGGAAAGGGTGGGAAGGGTGGGAAGCCGACACAACCCAGGCAGTACGTGCTGGGTATCAAGTACATGGGACAGACAGTGTGTGCTGGGGGGTGGCCGGGGGTAGTGGCCAGGAGGAGGCATCTTGGAGTGGAAAATACAGAGGATAGGGAGGCCACCGGGGTGAACAAAGACACTGACAGGAGTGGGCTGGTGAGTCTGGGGGATCTATCTGGTAGGAGTAGAGCTGGGTTACAGTGACGTGATAAAACTGGTGTATCAGGAGGGCTGATTGGGATGACTAGGAACAGAGGGAAAATGGAGTCTGGAAGCCTTGTCAGAAATCTCTGGTAACAATTTGGGCTTTAGGTGTTGGGCCTGCTCCAGGCTGAGAAGCATGGGAAACAGTGGGAGGTGGAATGAGGGGTCACTCTCAAGGAAGAATCAACCTGTGACTGGCCTACTGGAAGGGGTAGCG